GAGGGCCACTCAAGCTATGGGAAAGTTGGGCATCTCCTGGAGATTGATGTGGGGCAGAGGGCAGGGAGCCCTGTCTTGGGGTCTCTTGCACTTACTGTGCCCTGATCCCTATCGCTGCTTGGCTTTGTTTAGGGCACAGATGCAGCCCTGGAGTAAGCGAGCAGCAAGTCTGCTCTGCTCAGGGCAGGGTTTTGTTTGGTCTTGTTTCCCCACGCCCCCGTCTATCTCTGTATCACTATCATACAGAGTCTGTGTGCATGTGTGCTTCTCTCTCTCTCGCTGAGACATCATCTTTCTCCCACACACACACTTACCCAGGTCAGAGGCAAGGAGCCGCGCCAGTCCCTCCCTCCCTCTCTGCCTTCCCAGGTGGATGTAGGGAAGCTAGGAGAGCTGCAGTCACTTGTTGTGATGCATCTCTGCTGCCTGTGGCACCCCGAGCCAGCATGGTGGAAGCTGCTGCCCAAGGAGGCTGCAGGCAGGATCCCAAGTCTCTGCCTCTCCCAGAGAAAGGGAGACAGGGGCTTGCTCTGGAGTAGTGGGAGTGACATGACAGCAGGGTTCCCTGGAGACACAGCTGCCTCCAGACCCCATGCTCCAGGGGCTCCTTCTGCACTTTGCCTGGGAGCAAAGCAGTGAGCCATCTGCAGAGAGCAAGTGCGGCAGGAACACAGAAAGAGGGATGCTGGAAAGGCAAATCACAGGAAAGGCAAAGCCAGGCATAGGAGAGGAAAGGAGGGGAGATCCTGCTTCAGGTTTTGACTTTCCCAACCCCAAACATTGCCTCTGGTTCCTCTCCACCTTCCTGCCTTTTTCACATTCTCTCCTTTCCCTGAGGGGCTCCCAGGGAGTATGGGAGCCAGGCTGGGGTGGACATAGCATGCTTCCAGCTGTCAGGGACAGAGGCTCCCTGTGGGACTTTCCCACCATCTTCCTGGACCAGACCCAATTTCCATCATGGGCTATGGTACATCTTCTCGGGGCAGTTATCATGTCTGCGCTGGGTGCTGGCTTTCCTAGCCTCATTGGCCCTGCTGCTCACCTAGTCGTCTAACCACATCCGCTACCTGCTCTTGTTGCCCATGAACACCAGGAAGTTCAGGAACACGAACGAAGAACAAAGGAAAGTCTCACAGCTCACAGCATGGGATCCAGCACTGAAAGGGCAGGTTGGTGTAGTGGTCCAGCATTGATGGAAGGGAGTGGGGAATAGTGGTTAGAGCATGAGGTACTGGGAGCCCAGACCCCTGTTTCTATCCCAACCGCTGGAGGGGTCTGGGGGTCTAATGGTTAGAGCATAGGGGGCTGGGGTCCAGTTCTGGATGGGGCTATGGGTTAGGAGACGTGATTCTATTCCTGGCTCTGCCTCCTTTTCTGTGTAACTTTAGAAATGTCCCCTCCCTTCCCTGGGCCTGTTTCCCCTCTGAGCGATGGGGACAGGTGTGCCCTGCTCTGTGCAGGAAGGGAGGGCAGTGAGACTCCTAAATGTTTGCAAACCACTTTTCGTTCCTTCCATAAAAGCCACTGGAGAGAGAGCCTCAGTCTCCTTCCCTGTGTTCCTCTTTATATTCATTATCTGCCCACACCTCTAATGGGGCCATTAGCCAAGTGTCTGCAAAGGAAACATGAAAAAGCCAAATGTAACTGAGAACTGGCTGGGGCATGTCCCCTCTGGACAGGGGTCCTGCCTGCAGTGCCTGGGTTTGAGCAGGTTTCAGTGGATTTGTTATTTCGTCTGTTCCATGCTTGTTCCAGGGCCATTGCTGCGATTACATATTGCTTAGAGTCTAATGCGGCTGGATCTCTGGGGCTTTTCCCATCCTTGAATTCTATGACTGGCAAAGCTGAGCCCCCGCCCTCCCATCCCACCTCGAGACATGGAGGACCTGCCCTAGAGGATTGGGGGGGAGGGCAAATGGACACGGGCTGCATAGCAAGATAGAGACTGGCAGAAAGGGGTTGTTGGGCTAGTGGGGGAGGGGAATATCAGGGAGGGCTACTGTGACACATGGCTAGAAAAGGTTAAACATCCTGCAAAAGAAACAATCCTCAAAAGACATGTGGAGGGATAATGTTTGTGTTTGTTTATATTTACATATGTATGAGTAGGGTCGACAGTGGAATCAACAGTCCCTGTCTATGCTGTATTCTGCTAATTCAAAGATCAAAGAACATTCTAGCACTTAAATGAACTGTAAACATGGGATATCTCTGTATTCATCTCTCTTTGAAATGTATGGCAAATAATCTGTGAATGGTGGAAGAACAAGCAAATCGTTTTATGTTAATTCTATAGCTAAGTATTGGTGATGGATCTCCTTCAAAGTCATCCTAATTATCTTTTGTTCCCGGAGGAAATCCCAACTTGTCAAAGACGACATGAAATTGTATAAAAAATCCTTGGGTCCTGATCCTGTTCATCTCAGCTCTGCCTGAGGCTTCATTCAGGGGAAGCTTAGGCCATAAGGTCTGAGATCCCAGTCCTAAGCAGAAACACCCTGCATTGACATTGGACTATAACCTATGAACTATTTCTGAAAGACCTCTTTGCAACTATAAAGCTCACCATCACTATGAATCTGAATCTTAAGAATTGAACGCATGTCTGTATGTATATTGATCTTTTAACCATACTCTCTCTCTTTTGTTTTTTAATAAATTTTAGTTTAGTTAATAAGAATTGGCTGTAGCGTGTATTTGGGTAAGATCTGGATTATTCAGTAACCTGGGAGGTAATGTGTCCAATCCCTTGGGATTGGTAGAAACTTTTCTTTTATATGATGAAATAAGATTTTCAGGAATCATCATATTTGACTTAGGTACCTGGGTGGAGGCCTGAGTCTGGATCACTTTAAGGGAACTGTGTTGTTTGGACTTTTGAGTAACCAGTAAGGTAATAAAGAAGCTGGCTTGGTAAATCTAAGCACTGGAATATCCACCAGTTTTATGGGGATTGTCTGCCCCCATTCTTTGCAGTTCACCCTAACTGAGTGATCATAGCTGGCCCCTACTGGGACATCCCAGTCACAGCTAGTCTCTCACGGGGGAGCCCCATCACTTGGCACGTTGGAAATGAAGGCTGGAGAAGGACCTAGCAGGGCCTGTCCTGCACCATTGTGGGGTCTCACAGGTCTTGTCCATGACTGATTAACTCCCTTCCTTGGAAGCCCCTTAGCTTTGAATTGATCTCAACACATTGCCACTCCTCTTGCTCCACATCTCGGTTTTGATGGGAGCTCTGCCGCCCCTTCTGGACGCTCCTGGTGATATTAGCTGAAGAATGGTACTGGCTTCGTCTCTGCTTCCTTGCTCCCTGGGGACAGGGCTGGCAGGGGAGGAAAGCCATGAGTCCCAGGAGTGAAAGAGTCCCACCTGGGAGGTGACAGGAAGGGAGATGGGGAGTGCCCAGCTGCTGAGGAAGAGATGAATGCAATGGTGGTGGGAAGAGGAGAGGAGCCCTGGGGAGATAAATAGGGGTTATGGCAAATGCATACCAAGGAGGGAGCAGAGGGTCCCCAGGGAATACCCTGGACTGTGATGCTGAAGTGACTGGGACAAAAGCTGACCCACAAAGGCCTGATACTGCGAGGCACTGAATTCCCACTGAAGTTAATAGGGCTCAGGGGCCGAGTGAGACAGTTCAGCCTGGAGACTGCCCCTCATCACTGCTTCCAGGATTTTAAGTGTAGAGACCTCAACCTGCTTAGTCCCGTGGCCAAACATACTGGAAAATTCATGCCAAAATTTGGAAAAAAATGTATCAGTGTTCACAAGAGAAAAGGTATCAGAACGAGATACAAGTATTTTTGGAATCACAACTGAGTGGTTATGCAGAACAAACATAATCAAAACCTATCCAGTCCCTTTCTCAGAGAGAGATATTGGTTAGAATCTTTTTATTTTGTCGGACAGTCCTTGGTGGGAAAGAAAGGGCTAGGTCTGCTGTCCAATTCTGAGTTACAGACTTTCCCTGCTTTGACAAAACAAACAGACACGGGGAAAGGGTGCCAGCAGGAACCAAAATCTCACAGCCCGGGTGGAGAGTTAGCCAGAGCTGGTGGAGGTGGCGCTGCCATCTGGGTCCCCTTCTCTGGTCAGGACATCATTGGGTCAGGATGGCAAAGACCCAAGAGTGTCATGGTTGATGTTGAGGTCCTAGGAGATGGTGAGGATGGTAGCCATAATGGTAAAGGTCCCTCTTGCAGTCCACCCATCTTGCAGCAAGGCAGCCAGCTTGATAATCACCACAAAGGTTTTTTAAGGACCCCCAAAAGGGAATAATGAGTGGAATAGCCCATCCCCTCATTACTTTGTTCACCAGTTAAGCCTAATTTCTGACACACCAATTTTGTCCATTGATTTCCAGTCCCACACATCTCTTGTTTAGCACATGTGCTTTTAACACCCTCCTGGGGCAATCTCAGTTGACCTTTTGGTTTGCACTAATCCAGTTTGTTGTCTCCTTTTGCCCCTTTTCCCATTAATGTTGGATATTAGCGATGGGACCAGTTTATAACTTTCCCACAGTTGAGCTCACAACTGGGGTAGAATTATCAGGCCCCAGTTATTACAACAGATCCTGAATGGTGCCCCTGCAGTGGGGGTGGGGGAGTCCCCAATCAGTGACCCCATGATATGGGGTGAGTATCCAGGAGGTATACCCGATTGGTGACCCTGCAATGGGGGGGTATGTGGGGGGTAGGTTGGTGACTCTGTGATGGGGGGAATATCCCCAACTGGTGACCCTGCAATGAGGGATGAGTATGCATGGGGGTGGGGCAGTGTCCCCGGTTGGTGACCTTGCAATGGGAAGTGAGCATGCAGGAGGTGGGGGTGTTGAGCTCCAATCAGGGACACCCTGTGTTTGTCACTCCCTGATGTACTGACTGGCTGGGCACAAGTCAATGGGTTTGGTCCCCGCTTAGCACTCAGCCTGGTGGTAGGGTCTGGGCCTGCCAGCTCTGTGTCTAACTATCCCCTCCCATCTCTGTCCCCCTCAGGTCTTCACACGCTATGGCAAGTGTTACACATTCAACTCCGGACAGGATGGGAAGCCCCGGCGCATCACCATGAAGGGTGGCACCGGCAATGGCCTGGAGATCATGCTGAACATTCAGCAAGACGAGTACCTGCCTGTCTGGGGGGAGACAGGTAACAGGACCACTGTCCCTTGGCCTCCAGCAGCAGCAGCACTGGCTGGAGCAGCTGTGTCTGCAGCTCCCTCCCTGCCCCATGCGGAGATGGGCACCTCTGCTTCCACACCCAGAGCACTTTGCCCTAGTCCAGTGGCAGGCCATCACCACTCCCTTGATACCTATCCATTCAACCACCTGCCTCTCAGCCAGACCTCACTCTGCCAACACCTCCCCGTCTCTGTCTCCTGACAAGCTGTATTTCCATGACAGCTCTTCATGGCTTGTTGTTTATAGTGTGTGGGGGCCTGGTTTGGCCTGGTTTGGGGGGCCCAGCTTGGCACAGCAGTGTCCAGCTGAACCCTCTGAGTACCACCACAGTAGCAATAATAATGCCTGGGGCGGAGGGTCAGACGGGCCTGGAGAAGGGACAGGCGCAGTCACTTGGGGCTGCTTGCAGCCGGTTCCCATGAGGTAGCCCTAGCCCCATAAAGGCCCATGCGTTGTCTCCCTGGAGCTGGGCCCTTGCCATGCCCTGTCTCCAGCAGCCCCAACCCCCATGACCCTACCCCTAGGCTCCCATCTTCTCAGGTCCTCCCATTTTTCTTGCTGTCAATCTATTTTTCTCCTCCTTTTTTCTTACCTCTATTATTTGCCATGGCAACTGCCTGCCAGTTTAAATTAAGCAGCACTTGTCTATAAATAGTTCCACCCACTTCCCTGCTGCTCTCCCAGGGCCATGGAGTGGGAGGGTGGTGGGGAAGAAGAGAATGGGAGCGGAGGGGCTAGGAGGGAGGGAAAGCAGACGGAAGGAAGGAATGCATGCGGGTGGGAGGGTGGCACATGCAATAAACCTAAGGAGCCCCAGCCCCTACCCCCACCTAGCCTGAAACAACACTTCCTGTATGGTGGGGGGAAGGGAGGGGTGCAGTGAGCAGGTGGGGAAGGGAGGGGCATATAGAGCAGGGTTGAGGCTGTGGACTAGTGGAGAGGGAACGGGCACTGAATTCTTCCCCAAGACAGACACTGGAGAGATTGTCATGTAGGTGACACACACACACACACACACACACACACACACACACACACACACACACACACACACACACACACACACACACACACACACACACACACACACACACACACACACACACACACACAGCAAAGCTGGGTGGAGGAGAAGGTATGTCTGAGAACAGCCCCAGACCTGAGCAGATCTGGCCACACGCATGTGGCGATGGGCATGACCGGCTGCCCCATCAGTGAAACATTCACCCAATCTCAGCATCCTTCTAGAACAGTTACACAGGCAGCTGGGCAGGAGGGACTTGCCCAGACAGAAACCCGCCTCTGCCATCTGTTGCTTTGAAACCCACTGGGGAAGGTAGGATGAGAGTGAACGTGTTAGACCAGGTGTCAGAACTCCTGGGTTGTGTCCCAGATCTAAGAGGCAGGGTTTTCTAGAGGCTAGAGCAGGAGATTGGGAGTCAGGACTCCTAGGTTCTGTTCCCACCTCTATCATCTTGGGTGAGTCACTCCCCCTCTCTGTGGTGTTTCTCCATCTATAAAATGGGATGAATAATACCCACTTCCCAGGGTGGTCTGAGTCTCTGTTCGTTAATCTTTCCAAGGCAGTTAGAGGTCCCTGTGTGAAAGGCACCAAGAATGGGCCAGTTCTGCTCTCACGCTGGTGTAAATCAGGAGTAACCCCACTGAAGCCCGTGGAGCGAGCTCAGGGTATATTCAGTGTTAAAAGGGGAATCCTGACTTTGTTCATCCGTGCAGGGATATAAGAGAGGGCCTGGCTTACCCTGACCTGGTGGCGCCATTCTCACCTGTGCAAAGCGACTGCGAGATGTGACCAAATGAGATCCCTCCCCTCACTTCGCCACTGTGTGTGTCACATGCCTGCATTGCACAGCTGTAGATGGCAACAAGGTGACACCTGTGTGGAGTTGGACCCCTCATCCTTGGAACTTCTGGTGCCCTCTGAGACGGTCCCATGGCTCTGTACGCGTCCAGGCCTGAAAGGGCTCTTCACACTGGCAGGGACAGGGTTAATTCCGCACCAGGCTCCATTACAGACAGGACAACCTCTCTGAAGCTAGGTTAACATATGCCCTGAGGGAGAGCAGAATAGGTGTATCCTCCGGATATGAAATGGGCTCCAGGGAGTTCTCACCACAGGATGCCTGGGTTCCCCAGCCCTCTCAGATACTCAGCTCCCACTTTTTTTGTTGTTGCAGATGAGACCTCGTTTGAAGCTGGGATCAAAGTGCAGATTCACAGCCAGGATGAACCTCCCTTAATTGACCAGCTGGGCTTTGGGGTGGCGCCTGGATTCCAAACCTTTGTGTCCTGCCAGGAGCAGCGGGTGAGGGGCAGGAGAGCACTGGGCTGGGCACTCTGTGCTGGCAGCCCCTGAGCTGCCTCTGCCTGACACAGACAGAGAAGAAATACTAAGCGGGGGGAAGGGGTGGATGCAGCATTCCGGGAGCCTGGAGGGTTACGGGGGGGGATATGATAGAGGTCTATAAAATCCTGAATGGTGTAGAGAAAGTGAATAAGGAAGTGTTATTTATCCTTTCACATAACACGTGAACCAGGGGTCACCCAATGAAATTAATAGGCAGCAGGTTTAAAACAAACAAAAGGAAGTACTTCTTCACACAACACACAGTCAGCCTGTGGAACTCGCTGCCATGGGATGTTGTGAAGGTCAAAACTATAACTGGGTTCAAAAAAGAATTAGATAAGTTCCTGGAGGGTAGATCCATCAATGACAATTATCCAGGATGGTCAGGGACGCAACCCCATGCTTTGTGTCCCTAAGCCTCTGACTGCCAGATCTGGGACTGAATGACAGGGGATGGATCACTGGATTATTGCCTTGTTCCCTCTGAAGCTTCTGGCATTGGCACTGTCAGAAGACACGATTCTGGGCCAGATGGACCATAGGTCTGACCCAGTCCGGCCGTTCTTATGTCATTGCCCTTCTTGACAATTATAACAAACAATCATGAGCCAAATCAGCTGGGAGAAAGAATTTAATCAGAAAAGCATTAAGGATAATTGGGAATTGTTTAACAGCACTTCCACTAGATGCCCCAAAAGCCACCATCCCACACTCGAGGAAGAAGGCTGTATTATTAAAAAAAGACCTGGTTTAGAGGGGAAGCAAAGCCAGCTATGAAAAAATTAAAAATAATATATAACAAAGGGGCAGTTGATATTAATACAGATCAGATGCTAGAAATTGTAGAAAATTGATAAGGAAAGCAAAGGGACACAAGGAGAAAACTGGTTTCAGAGTAGCAGCCGTGTTAGTCTGTATCCTCAAAAAGAACAGGAGTACTGGTGGCACCTTAGAGACTAACAAATTTATTAGAGCATAAGCTTT